CAATATCTCCTGTAAATACTAATGTGAATGGGAACCAGGGGTTCATCTTTTTGTCTCAATTACTAGAATAACACAGAATTACTGCTAAAGTTGGCCAGGCGGTGGCTCATGCCTGTAATCCCAGCACTCTGGGAGGCTGAGGCAGGCAGATCAGTTGAGGCCATGAGTTCAAGACCAGCCTTCTCAACATAGCAAAACGCCATCACTACTAACCCCCACCACCAAAAAAAATTCGCCAGACATGGAGAAGCACATCTGTAATCTTAGCTACTCAGGAGCCTGAGGCACAAGAATTGATTCAACCTAGGAAGAAGTTGCAGTGAGCTGAGATCACACCACTGCACTCAAACCTGGGTAACAGAGAAATCCTGTCTCAAAAATAAAATAAAAGTATTGATAAAGTCGAATGTATATATACATACATACATACATTTCTGATGCTGGTGGAATTTCTGGTAGATAATAAAATCTTGGCTGTGCATGGTGGTTCATGCCTGTAATCCCAACTACCTAGGAGGCTGAGGCAGGAGAATCACTTGAACCAGGGAGGCTGAGGTTGCGGTGAGCCAAGATTGTGTCATTACATTCCAGCCCGGCCAACAAGAGTGAAACTCCGTCTCAAAATAAATAAAATAATAATAATAATAAAAGTATAAATCAGGGGTCAGGCATAATGACTCATGCCTGTAATCCCAGCACTTTGGGAGGCCAAGGTGGATCACTGGAGGTCAGGAGTTCGAGACCAGCCTGGCTAACATAGTGAAACCCTACTAAAAATATAAAAATTAGCCAGGCGTGGTGGTGGGCACCGGTAATCCCAGCTACTCAGGAGGCTGAGGCAGGAGAATCACTTGAACCTGGGATACAGAGGTTGCAGTGAGCCAAGGCTGCACCACTGCACTCCAGCATGGGTAACAGTAAGAATCCCTCTAAAAAAAAAAAAAAAATTAAAATTAAAAATTGAAAAATAGGCTGGGCACAGTGGCTTATGCCTGTAATCTCAGCACTTTGGGAGGCCAAGGCAGGTGGACCACTTGAGGTTGGGAGTTTGAGACCTGCCTGATCAAAAAGGAGAAATCCCATCTCTACTGAAAATGCAAAATTAGCTGGGAGTGGTGGCACAGGCCTGTAATCCCAGCTACCTGGGAGGCTGAGGCAGGAGAATTGCTTGAACCCAGGAGGCAGAGGTTGTGGTGAGCCAAGATCGCACCATTGCATTCCAGCCTGGGCAACAAGAGCGAAACTCCATCTCAAATAAATAGGACATGAGGGAGGCCAGGTGTGGTGGCTCACGCCTGTAATCCTAGCACCTTGGGAGGCTAAGGTGGGTGGGTCACTTTGAGGCCAGGAGTACAGGACCAGCCTGGCCAACATAGTGAAACCCCATCTCTACCAAAAATAAAAAATTAGCTGGGTGTAGTGGTGGACATCTGTAATCCCAGCTACTCAGGAGGCTGAGGCACGACAACACTCCAGCCTGGGTAAAAGAGTAAGACACTATCCAAAAAAAAAAAAAAAAAAAAAAAAGTTGGAGGTGGGAAAGGGAAGAAAGAATCAGATATATTTACACAGATGCAAAATTGCCTAATCCACTGAAAAAACCCTCTCACTCTGTATGGTGTCATTATTACGAAGCCAGGAGAATGCTAAGCGCTGAGAGTTATCAAAAGTTACCGGAGTGCCTTGTGTTAAGGAGGGGTCAAAAACTGATATTAGTCCAGCTGCAAGGGTTGTGCAAGTGTGAGTGTGTATGTTTGAGGGAAAGGTGATAAGGGAATGACTCAAGTAATTTAGACAACAAGCAAAGATATGTCCTGTGAAGGGTGATCTATTTAGACTAACCTTAATTACTAACCAAGACCCTATTTGACCCGACCCATTTCCTGCTTCATTCACACACCAGTCTTTGAAGTCAGGCCACACACTGCCTTTTCTGTTACCTGAATGCTGCAGTATCATTCCCATCTCACGACCTTCTGTACCTGCCTGGCTTCTTATAATTCCTTTCTGTTCAAACGTCGCTTCTTCAGAGATGATTTCTCTTGACTACTCCATCTAAATAAAATAGCAAAACTCTTCCCCTCGAGTTCCTCCAGTCATTCTTTATCTCATTATCCGATGTCTTCATTGCACTTTTCACTCTCTTAAAGTTATCTCATTTATGGTTTATTGTACTGGTTTAAGGCTTGCCTCCCCGACTCCAATGTACACTCTGTAAACCAGGGACCCATCTGACCTTGTTCCTGGCTGTAACCTCAGCGCCAAGCGCACAGAAACTTTATACATATCTGCTGTCGTCTGTAAATATAAAACCTGAAGTAGAGGGCCAGGCGCGGTGGCTCACGCCTGTAATCCCAGCACTTTGGGAGGCCGAGGCGGGTGGATCACGAGGTCAATAGATCGAGACCATCCTGGTCAACAAGGTGAAACCCCGTCTCTACTAAAAATACAAAAAATTAGCTGGGCATGGTGGCGCGTGCCTGTAGTCCCCGCTGCTCGGGAGGCTGAGGCAGGAGAATTGCCTGAACCCAGGAGGCAGAGGTTGCGGTGAGCCGAGATCGCGCCATTGCACTCCAGCCTGGGTAACAAGCGCGAAACTCCGTCTCAAAAAAACAAAACACAAAAAACAAAAAACTCTGAAGTTGGGAGCTCTCTAGACATTGGGAGGGATCAGAGGCCAGGAGTGTGACTTGTGGACGAATGAGGAAGCGGGAAGGCCGTCAGGAGAAGATCGGGGAACCCTGGGAAGTTAAAGCGTAAGTCCGAGCTCTCGGGAGAACCAAGGGGCGCGAGGCGTGGGGGGCTCACCTGCCGAATGGCCGCCAGCGTGTTCTCGGGCGCGTCGTGGCTGCCGCCGCGGTGGGCGATGGCGGAAATGCGGTCCCGGGGCTTGAGCACCTGCAGAGCCCTGCAGGAGGGCACCGGCTCAAAGCTGAAGACGCGCAGCAGGACGAAGAGGCTGCCGGTGAGGAGGCAGGCATTGACGGGGCTCCGCGTCACCAACAGCAGCACCACCAGCAGGAAGGAGAAGGGGCCCAAGAGGCCCCCCTGGTCCTCCCACAGCCACATGCCGGCGCCCGCACCGGCACGGACGGGAGTCCCGGACCTGCCGGGCTCCCCGGGCAGGAGAGCGAGAAGCGACGGGGAGGGCCCAAAACACTGGCCGCAGCGGGTGCCCGCCGAGGGGACCAGCGCCGCACAATGGCGGCAGAGGACACCTCCTGAGAGGTAGTCAGCTGGCCAGCCAATCAGGGCCCAGGATTTGCAGCGCTAGGGGGCGGAGCCGCAAAGGGGGCGGGCCCAGGCCCCAGGCTCAAGTTCCAAACCCGAAGTGGTTTACGGTTTTCTGGGGTGTGAACTTCGACCTGGATGTTTAACTCCTAGGCGAGAAAAGGAGGGATAAGAACCGTCCTAAAGCTGTAGTACTGGAAGGGATTCTAGTGGCTCCTTTATCTGCCTTTGAGGAAACTGAAGTCCAGGGAACTTGGAGAGAGGCAGGATGCTTAGATTATCGATTCAGTTCGGTTCAGTTCAAGATAGGCTCCAGACATGAGTTGAACAGGACCTACACAGGGTTCTTGCTCTTATGGGTCTCACATTCTCGTGGTAAAAGTGTTAGCAAGTACACCTAACGTGTACAGAGCACTTACCATGTCCCAGGTACTTTGCGAGCAAACACTTTATATGCTTATCTCATTCTCACAGCAGCCTCACTAGGTGGTTATTATCTCAGGAGGCTGATGTCAACCGATTTGATTTTCCTGATCCTGGGGGACTGGAAGAGCCTAGCAAAAAAGGCACAGTTAGATTATAAAACTGGAAGGGGTTTTAAGGATTCCCTCATTTTATAGATGAGAAAACTGAAGATAGGTGAATTAAGTAGTTAATGGCAGGGTGGGGACTGACATAAAGGCCTCACCAGTGACTTGTGACATTTTCGCTCCTCCTCCTCCTAATCTTATTTCTGCTAAGGGCTTTTGTACTAGGCCCTGTGCAATAGTTATCTCAACTGTGTCTCACAACCACCCTTGTGATAGTCACTTTTAAAACCCCCATTTTACATATGCAAAAATAAGCACTGGAAGGAGGGTAAGAGAGATAGATGGTAAAGCCGACTTAGGGAATGAAAGAGGGCTCCTAGTCATGTTTTGGAAAGCTGGTAGCATTTTTATGTAGAGAACTTTGCGTAAAGATTCAGGGATTTTTCTGTTACTTCTTGCTTTTAGTGTATTTTCCCACTGATTTGCAAAAGGGCATAGATGTCCAGTTGGCATCTAGGATTTCGCGGTTTTTTGTTTTGTTTTGAGTTTTGTGTGTGTGTGTGTGTGTGTGTGTGTGTGTGTGTGTGTGTGTTTGTTTGTTTTTGTTTTTGTTTTTGTTTTCTTTTTGAGACAATCTCACTCTCTCACCCAGGTTGGAGTGCAGTGGTGCAATTACGGCTCACTGTCGACCTCCTGGGCTCAAATGATTTTCTCACCTTAGCCTCCCGAGTAGCTGGGACCACAGGCTTGGCTAATTTTTAAAATTAGTGGGACCACCCTACTTGGCTAATTTTTAAAATTTTTGTAGAGATGGCGTTTCCCTTTGTTGCCTAGGCTGATCTCGAGCTCCTAGGCTCAAGCGATCCTCCCACCTCTGCTTCCAAAATGTTGGGATTATAGGCTTCAGCCACCATGCCCGGTGTGTTCAGCAAGGTTTTAGCTACAATATTTTGGTGCATGTTATGTGTTTTTTAACAGCTGCATAGAAAGGGGTTTTCCTTATACAGATAAGAAAAAAATGTCAACTTCAAGGAACACTTCAGGGGACTTCAGACTCTGAGGAGTGGTCCTATTATAATAAATAAGTAAATTTATTAATAGATTCTAGAGGCTCTAGCTTGCAATGAAGACTACGTTTCCCAGCGTGCAGCATGCTGGCCGTAAGCATTACGTCCGCTATCGGGGGCGCGCAATGCACATCGGGGATTGTAGTTTTCTGGTGGCCCAACCGTTTCAACTGCCCGGTAATCAACCACCGGAAGTGCCGGCCCTGAGAGGCGGAGTCCTGGTAGCAGCGGCGACGGTTGCCAGGAGCCCGCGTTGCCGCCTGAGGTCCGTAATATGGCGGGGAGGAGGAGGAGAAGGCGGCGGCGGACCGTGCTGCGCTCTGTCAGTACCATTTGAGCCATTCGCTTCCTGACAAGGCCCGTGACGAGGAGAGAGGAGCTGAAGGGGCTTTGGGGGATCAGGTGTGTGCATGAGGAGGGGGCTCGAGCCTCGGCGGGTCCGAGCTGAGAGGTGGCCTGGCGAGGCGAAATTGGCGCCCTGAGGAGCTGAGGGCGGGCTCTGTGCTGGGCTCCCGGGCCTTGAACCCCCTGAAAGGGCGCTGGCTGTAGGGAGGTGGGAGCCCAGGGGCCGACAGCACCGGGTACGGAGGTGATGCTCTTATGCCGGCCCCACCTGGAGAGCCCTCGGTGTGGAGCCTTTCTGAGGACCATGAGGCGCTGTGGAGAAGGCAGGGGATCGTCCCTGGTGAATAAGACTCGGGCCACAGCGGGAGAACCCCATCGCGGTGATCGAATTGAGGTGTGTTTCTTCTCTTTCCCAGAAAGAAGAGAAGAAAAACGCCCCAATTCGATCACCACGATGGGTGCCGGAGAGGGAGGCGTCCCCGGGGTATGCATTGGCCATTTATGAGCTCCAGATACCACAGCTAAGGTCCTAGGAGCGCTGCTTACTACGCCTTAGCCACTCTGGGGCATAAGCTTCAAGATACTAAAGTAATTGATTGCCCCTGAAGCTGCTAGATGGTTCCCACCCTTTGATTCTATTCTGGTTATGATCCAAGCTCCCTACCCCCAGCTTGGGCAAATGGCAGCCATCTCGAGACTGATTTGACTGGGAGAGGTTTAGAGACAGGGAAATGAGGAAGCCGTTGTCCCCTTTCCTATATTTTTAAGTTTCATTTGAATCCTACCGGGAACCAAGAACTGTCGTTGCCCTCCAGGAATTCATAGTCTATTGCTAAAAATTATCATCATTATCCTCTTAATAAGAAAAGCAAGCCCCATTATTTGATGCTTTCTGCGTGTTCTGCACTATGCTAATTGCCCTACTTGCATTAGCTCATTTAATTCTGACAAGATCCCTTTGAGATGGATACCGTGATCATCCCTGTTTTACAGTGGAGGAAACAGGTGTGGGGTTGACAACTAGCTTGCCAAGAACTTGCAGCTAGAATTCATCTAACGAAGAAAACTTTCCCTTTACCACTTTTACAAGAAGTTTGCGTCTTTGGGGGAACTAATGAGCAAAAAAAAAAAAAAAAAAAAACACACACACTAGGTTCTGCAAAAAAGGCAGGATCTGTTCTATGCTACTTTTACCACTCCTTTCAGTGACATGTGTGGCAGAGCACAGATCAGGAGCAGATAGGACCATGAGTCCATGGGGTTTGCAAAGAGACTTATTTGGACAGTGGTTCTCTATGGTATAAATGGAGAAGACAGGGCATGTCTGAACCTGCTACAGCTGACAAATTATTACTGGAAGTGGACCAGTAATGCGTGATGGTAAGGTATGGGGCAGTAGATTTGTGGCTGGGGTAGCCTTGTAGTTTAAGGCTCCCTTAAAATAAAACCTTGCTGACAGTGGTAATTGTACTGTGAAAGGCATAGTGTCCTCTTGCTTAATCATGGGATATGGACTGCTCACTTCTTAAATGGTTACCTTTGCAGTTTAAGAGGTATCAGTTTTTCGGAATAGGGCCGTAGTGAAATTTCCATTCTCTAAATTCGATTCTTCCTTTCTAGCTTTAATGTATAGTCCACCTTCTTTTTTTCTTCTGGCTTACATTATTGTTTGAGCTTATTACCCGAATTCCTTTATTCAATACTTTTATTAAATGCCTGCTGTCTGCTGATACTATTCTGTGTAATGGGGATTCCGTGATCAAGTGTGAAAAGGTACATGTACTTACAGCACTTATATTTTCGTGGAGGAAGACAGACAAAAAGAAAATAAACGATAATTTCAGATAGTGGTTAAGTGCTATGAAAATTGGGAAACAACAGGGTAATGTGATAGTGATCAAGGCAGAGCTAATTTAGCTGGGGTCATCAGGGACACCTTCTCTGAGTGGGGGACATCCAGGCTGAGACTAAAGGATAAGAAGGATTCAGACATGCTCTGAGGATCATCTAGTAATTTGAATAATCTCCATATTAGCACTCATATTTGAGTGAGTAATGCATTGTCATATGCTGTGTTGGGCTGTAATAATAATATAGTACTGTACATCTTCAAGATGTAGGACGTACATGTACTATTTAGGGGATGTGAATAACTCTGAAACAATGAGACGTATCTCTATGATGTTGAAAGAGAAAACTATGGCCATAAAAATATGGTATTTTCTTAAATTTCCCTCACTTTTAGAATTGAATTTCATGCTTTGCTTGAGTAGCTATAGACTGTATATTACTTTATTTGTATGAGTAATCTATTTACATTCTCTGTACTGCTGAATGCATGGCATGTATTAAAAAAAAGTATATGAGCATAAATGGAGTTGTTAAGATATAATGTGAGTAGAAACATAGACTAAAAAAATGGCTATGCCTTACGGTATTTTATTGTTTTTACTTTTGCTTTGTTTAAATAAAAGCTTGTAAAATAATCTCACACTGTAGAAAACCATTTCTTTGACATTAAATTTCTAGTTTGCATAAATTGAACACAGAAATAATTACAATTGATGGAATGGTAGGAAGAAGTTTTGTTATTGATTAAACTATTTGGTCAAAAGTTCAATATAATTTTTTCTTAATCTGATTGTAATTTTGAATATTTTTTTTTCTCCATTTCTCATTGCACTGTAATTTGTCACTGACACTTTGGTATACTGAATTTTTAAGTACTTTGAGGCCTACGGAGGACATATCCTATTTCATCTTTGCATATCCCACATCATGAATTGAATTTCCCTTCCCTCTCTTTTTTTGTTAAGAAGTTAATTATTTTTAAATGAACACATAAAGGAACATTGTATTAGATTTTCTGTTTCCATAGTTCATACCCTTGCTGGTTGTGATTCTGATGTCTTTTTATTTTCCCTTATTTAAAGGAAACAGTGCCACACATAATGCTGTGCAAATAAGCAATCAATATATATTTTTTCCTGTAATCCCAGCACTTTGGGAGGCCGAGGCGGGTGGATCACAAGGTCAAGAGATCGAGACCATCCTGGTCAACTTGGTGAAACCCCGTCTCTACTAAAAACACACACACAAAAAAATTAGCTGGGCATGGTGGCTCGTGCCTGTAATCCCAGCTACTCAGGAGGCTGAGGCAGGAGAATTGCCTGAACCCAGGAGGCGGAGGTTGCGGTGAGCCGAGATCGCGCCATTGCACTCCAGCCTGGGTAACAAGAGCGAAACTCCGTCTCAAAAAAAAAAAAAAAAGGCTTTACTGAATTCTTAGCTAAATTAGTCTCATTTAAAGTTTGATTTACATGCAGTAATATTCAGAAATATTTAATATATAAAGTAAATCTTAATTGGATATGTTCTTGAGGTCAATTACCACACCCAATAATTAGCTCCTGATCACTGAGATAATTCTGGGAAGACCAGTTATAAGAATTCTGAATTATACGGACTCTCTCATGCTCTGCAAAATTTGCCAAATAATTAAGATCTATTTTTCCTGGTACATTAAACATAACATTTTTCTCTCTTGTAGTGTGATTGTGAAAAGATGGAGGAGTATGAGAAGTTCTGTGAAAAAAGTCTTGCCAGAATACAAGAAGCATCAATATCCACAGAGAGCTTTCTGCCTGCTCAGTCTGAAAGTATCTCACTTATTCGCTTTCATGGAGTGGCTATCCTTTCTCCACTGGTAAACTTTCTTTGTTTTTAAATAGTTTTTTTTTTTCTTTAGTGAACAACTAAAGCATTTTGTGGGGGGGAAAAAAAAAGGCTTATAAACATTTGAAGAGATGCCCTTATTCATAATTAGAGAAATAAAAATAAATTAGCATATTTTACTTACTATTATAGATTGGCAAAGAGCTAATAGAACCTTGTGTTCCTTAGATTGTGGAAAATGCACTTTTAATGCTGTTTTGCTGAGAGAAACGGTTTATTTTTAGGTGAGCAGTTTGGTACAATTTAAAAGCATACATAGCCTTTGACTCAGCAGTTCCATGGTATATCCTACAATTACACTCATATGTGAGCCCAAAGAAATAAGTACAAGATTACATTCGCATTGTTTAAAATAGCAAAGGTTGACAAATAACTTAAATGTCCATCAGTAGTGAAGTAGTTTAACTGTGGTCCGTTTTATAAAATCTCATACATACCATTACAGTGAGTAAGGCAGATCTAAATGTTAAGGCATGGAAGGATCTCCATGATCTAGTGTAAAACATTGTGCAGCATGCTGTCAGGGCAGTATAGAGTAATAGAGCTCCAGGCTTTGGGCCAGGCACAGCTGCTCATGCCTATAGTCCCAATGCTTTGAGAGGCTGGAGGGAGGAGCATTGCTTGAGACCAGGAAATTAAGACTAGCCTGGTTAACATAGCAAGACCACAGCGCTACAAAAACAATTATTTAAAAAAATTAGCCAGGCGCAGTGACATGTGCCTGTAGTCCCAGCTACTCGAAGGCTAAGGTGGAAGGATTGCTTGAACCTAGGACTTCCAGGCTGCCATGAGCCAGGACTGCATGACTGAACTCCAGCCTGAGCTACAGAGCAAGACCAGTTCCTGAAAGAAGGAAAAAATAGCCTAGGCTCTGGAACCTTCTGGCCTGGGTGCAAATCATTGCTTTGCTACTTACTTGCTATGTGAACTTGTGGTCCATTTTCTTATTTGTTACATGGGGATAAAATAGTGCCTACCTAATAAGTCTGTTTTGGAGATTAAATGAATTTGTAGATACAAAATGGTTAGAATACTACCTGGATCCTAACAGATACCCAATATAAGTTAATCATTTGAGTGTTTTAAAGCATGGCTGTTCCTTTTCCAGGGAGTGGTGAGAGAATATAGGATAGTACGGAAGACAGTTCATCATATATCCTTTAATATTAATTTACTATTTTAAAACGGTACATGATTATATTTTAAATCACAAACTAATATTAGAAAAAAATGAGCTTTAAATTTATTTTCTGGTATAACAGGAGTTAAAAGATTAAATTTATTTTAATTAATTTAATTGAATTTTTGAAGAGACCAGAGCTAACTGCCAGCATAGCAAAGTTGAAAGGATATGCAATGACCACCTGTAGATTTACCATTTGATTCAATAATTTTTAACGTTTTTGTCATCTTTGCTTTATTGTTTGTGATTTTATATACACGTATGTGTGTGTACATATATACTTACATACATATGTTTTTCAGAATTGCCTAGCCATTTGAAAACGACTGAGACCTGATGCTGCTTCCCTAAATATTTTGGTATACATCTCTTAAAAATAAGGACATTTTCCTATTTAAACCTAATACCATTATCACATCTTAAGAAAATTAATAATTTTTAATAACATCTAATAATTCTGTTCATATTTAAAATTTTCCATTTGTGCTTAAAATACCTTTTATAACTTTATTTCCCCAATCTGGATCCAAAGTTCATGATTAGTATTTGCTTGTTATGTTTTTTTATTTTAATCTAGAACAGCTCCTCTATGTGTTAAAAATAATATTTTTTTATTGGCTAGGCATGGTGCCTCATGCCTGTAATCCCAGCACTTTGGGAGGCCGAGGTGGGCAGATCACAAGATCGAGAGCTGGAGACCATCCTGGCCAACATGGTGAAACCCTGTCTTTACTAAAAATACAAAACTTAACTGGGCGTGGTGGCATCCAGCTACTTGGGAGGCTGAGGCAGGAGAATCGCTTGAACCCAGATGGCGGAGGTTGCAGTGAGCCAAGATTGCGCCGCTGCACTCCAGCCTGGCAACAGAGCGAAAATGTCTCAAAAAAAAAACACAAGGAATTCTTCGGAGATGATGCCCTGTACTTCCTATTAAATTAAATCAGAAGTTACGTAACGTTTGGTTGTCCTCTCTATTAGTGATGTTTAGTTTGAACACTTGCTTACAGTAGTGACTGCCAGATGGCTCTTTAAAGTACACATTTTCTCCTTTTGATTAGCAAGTAAACTGTGTAATGATTATTTCGTACCATGAAATTAGGAAAAAGTTTTAAAACAACATATTTATCAGCTATTTGATAACATATTGCTTAATGTGGACCAAATGTCTGAGGCTTGTTGTATAGGGTCTATGACTCCATCTGTTATTTATTTATAAGCAAAATATAATGTTTATGGACCTAATCCATACTTTTATGTTGTATTTGGCAGATGAATATTGCAACTTCTGAAATAATTTTTTAATGATGTATTTTCTATTTGTGTAAGTCTACGATAAATCTTGACTCTTAATACAGTGACTCAATTTCCCAGGACTTAATAATTAAGATTGAAATCCATTATAAAAAGATACAATGCTTACAAGCCTTCATTTTTTTAGGTACATTATATTTTTATTGGAAGGTAGAGGTGAAAGAAAAGATGTATTCTGATTTTGTAGGCAAATAATACATTATCTGTTTGTTTTATCATTAAACCTTTGGACTTTTTTTTTTTGAGGCAGCAAAGAGGTAAAACGTATACTGGTTAGAAAATTAAAACTTGTAGCATTCATTTGACCTAGTGAAGTAAGATACTGAACTGTGAAGAAATATTCAAGTCAATATTCAAGTGAAGTAATGAAAAACTCAGCAGTGGCCGAAAGGGCTTTAATTTTATTTCTGTCATTTTAGAACATTTGATCAGTGAACAAACTTTTTTGCTTTTTAACTTTTTTTTTAGTTCAAAATAATTTACATATAGCAAAATGCACAGATCTTAAGTGTTAAAGTTCCCTGAGTTTTGATATATGGCATACACCTGTATAACTCACACTCACACAGGATATTTTCTTCACCGTAAAAAGATCTCTAATGCCCCATCCCACTCAGAAGCCCAACCACTGTTCCGATTTCTTTCACTATAGATTAGTTTTGCCTGTTGCACGTGTTTCTAATCTTTCTGATTCAGAACTTCCTGATTTTATGATATTTTCATTATGGAAAATAATTAAATTTTTATGATGTTTTACAGCTTAACATTGAGAAAAGAAAGGAAATGCAACAAGAAAAGCAGAAAGCACTTGATGTGGAAGTAAAAAAGCAGGTTAACAGGAAGAAAGCTTTACTGACTCGTGTCCAGGAGATTCTTGACAATGTTCAGGTGTGTGATTTAAAGAAATCATAAGATAAGCATTGATGATAATTTTTCAGAAATATCACTTGTACTTAACTAATTTCTAATGTACTTTACTGTTACATTTGAGAAGCTTCATAATTTGTGATTTTCCATTTCAGTTACTCCAAAGAGTATGTACTTGCTTGTTAGTGATGCCCAGTACTTGAATCAGAGGATACTTACACAATGGAGCCATATACTGAATATAATTGCTTATTGTTTGCATCTTGTGATGCTAAAAACATTTAATTTTCAGTGACAAGATGATAGAATTGGCTATTGTTGTTTACTCAAACGAATCAGACTATTGACTAAATGACCTTATTCTCATTCTTTGGTCAAGTAAATAACTGCTCCCCAATTTTTTTTTTTTTTTTTTCCTGTGAAAATTCTGCTCTTAGATACACAAAATGCATTTTAGATACATGGAATGGTTTAGATGCATCCCATGTCTGAAAACCATTTAAACAACACATCTACACCTTAAGCAGTTTTTTTAGATTAAATTTGTATAAACAATTTGTTCTGACGTGTGGATCACTTTGTACTGAAAAGAAAAACAAATGGATTAGATTGAATGACTAATTTCTACCACACACAGCAGTGTTCTGCTGATAACATCTTTTTGTTTTTCCATAATCTTAGGAGTTTGTGGTTTGTCTGTATAATTCATATCAGATGGCACATGTGTAATGAACCTTAAGGGTTCATTTCTCTGTTGGTAGTGTAAACTGAAGAAAATGACTGAGGCGAGTTTCAATCAATTTAGAGTTCTGTTTTGCTGAGGTTAAGGATGTGCCAAGGAAAAAGAGACGAAGGTTACAGTAGGATCTGTGGCTTGTGCTTTTTCCAAAAGAGGTTTTGAGCATTTCAGTATTTAAAGGGGAAAGAATACCAGGAGAGGAAGGAGGAAAGAAGGAAAAAGGAGGGTAGGTCATGAGTGGTCACATTTTTGTGAGACTTTGATTAGAACTCACTGAATCCACATGTCATGTGAAAGGTGGGGGTAGAGGAACAGTCACTTATGCATTAATCTCAAGCTCAGTAAATCTGTACTTTACATAGGATAAAGTGAACAGAGGTAGAAGAAGAAGTCAAATATACATTTGTCTCCAAAGGGAGATGATTTCTGGTCATCTTTGGTCTTTGTTGATATCTTGTCAGAGTGAGATTCAACAGAACTCTGGGTTAGTGTAAAGATTTGGGGGCCTACAAGGAATTTCCTTGAGCAATTTGCAAGAGACGCTACCTGGGTAGATAGGTGGCCTTCTATTTTGCAGCTATCTGTTTAGGAACAAAAGGAAGGCAGTTTTTGTGTGACTCAGTTCCTAAGCTTTACTTTTTCCTTTGACATAGTGAGTTTAGGGTCCTGAGATTTTATTTTCCTTTTACAGTAGTATGTAGTTTTTGGGTAGTAGATTTCAATTTGCAGATTATAACTACTGTCCGTATTAAGTTTAAAAAATATATTGAGTGGCACTAATTTAACAATAAGAGGGTTTTTTACTTACTAGATATTTCCTGTGATTGAAATGAAAATGGCGTATCATTCTTCGTCCATTGAGGGAAGATAAAATATACTACAAAGATTGTTAAAAGAGCTTGTATAATGTTGAACTGTAATGAATTAATTATTCAGAAAGGGAAATTTTATATAATACAATTAGGTTTCTGCTTCACCTGTCAAACCTAAGATTTTATGATACATTTTTTTCTTGTTATTTAATTTGTCTAGTTAAAGGCTCATTTTAGTGATATAACAACATAGCTTCTGAATATCACAAATGTGAAATATTTTACTTAAGGAAATAATCTGTTTTGCTTAAACCTGTGAACATGTTCATGGATTTTGTGAATATGTATCCTTTTTGTTTTATTTTGGTCCTGAGGTTGTGACTAAGTATATCTTGTTGTACTGTTTATTGAATAGCACCTAGAAATCATTACATGTCTTGGGATTTGTAAGGTAAAATAGGAGCTCCATGTGGTCTAGAAAAAAACAAGCACATACAAAACAACCTAAAAATATTTTAATATTCAGGATTTTGAAGTCTGTATTCACGATAATAGAATAATGATTTTTGCCAGTTTAATATATGCATGTATAACCTTTAGAAACCATCCTAGTTTTCTGTTTGTTATTTTGCTAAGTTGGCTTATTTAGATACAAAGTATCTATTTTTACATTTATATATTTATTTGTTTTTGAGACAGAGTCTCACTCTGTTGCCCAGGCTGGAGTGCAATGGTGTGATCTCAGCTCACTGCAACCTCTGCTCCCAGGTTCAAGCAATTCTTCTGCCTCAGCCTCCCGAGTAGTTGGGATTACAGGTGCCTGCCACCATGCATGTCCAATTTTTGTATTTTTTGTAGAGAGGGGGTTTTGTCATGTAGGCCAGGCTAGTCTCGAGCTCCTGGCCTCAATTTGCCTGCCTTGGCCTCTCAAAGTGTTGGGATTACAGGCATGAGCCACCTCACCCAGCTTTACATATATTAAAGAAAAGTTTTTTTCCTCGTATATACAGTTGTTCTCTTCTTTATCTACCAAATTTTTACCTATTTTGGCTGTTCTGAAACTCATTAACAGGTTGCTGTTTTAACTAAGCATCAATTAATCTAATTGAATTTTGTTTTAATGAATTGAGTTTTAAGTTGAAATATTTCTTATTTCTAAATGATTTAAGCTGCCTGGCTGAGCTATTGTTTACTACAAATTTGCCTCATTTTATGGAGGGATTTTAGTTAAACTTTGGAGTAAGCATGTGGGTGCAGGAGTCTTATTACTGAATCATTTTTGTTTAATCAATGTCCTGGACAAGTTTTTGCTAGAGGGGAATTGTTTATGTAAGACATTTCATTACTTGCTGTTTATTGGATGTATTATCATCCTTGGATGATAGCTAATAAACTTACTGTTTATTGCATATATTATTATCCTTGGATGATAGCTATTTTAATGTTAATAACATATGACTGGAAGAAAGTTAAGGATTATCCAAGATTAAATTGCACAGGGATATATGAATCTCTCTCTCTCTCTCTCTCTCTCTCTTTCTCTGTGTGTGTGTGTGTGTGTGTGTGTGTGTGTGTGTTTGTGTGTGTGTGTGAGTGTATGTTCATATTTGTATCAGATTAATTTTCTTTTTTTTCTTTAATAACTTAGGCTGGATGACCAGTAGGTGTTTTTTCAACAATAATTTGAGCCCCATGTGATACAGGATACCATAGAGACCTGTCATCTTAGTGTTTGTTTATATTTTGAAATGTCAGAACTCTCAATCTTCAATTTCAGTTTTATTTTAGAAAACAGTGAAATCAGAGACTTTTTGTGCAATGAGGGAAGACTAACTTTGAAATTTCCTGTTTCAGGTTAGAAAAGCACCTAATGCCAGTGATTTTGATCAGTGGGAGATGGAAACGGTGTACTCTAATCCAGAAGTCAGAAACTTGAATGTTCCTGCTACATTTCCAAATAGCTTTCCAAGCCATACTGAACACTCTACTTCAGCAAAGCTTGATAACATAGCCCGGATTTTGCCATTGGATAATGAGGACCAGTGTAAAACTAATGGAATAGACTTAGCTAGAGATTCAGAAGAATTTAATTCTCTGAAGCAATGTGATAGTTCCAATATTGGTCATGTAGAAAATGAAGCTTTTCCAAAGACCTCTTCAGCAACCCCACAAGAGACTCTTATTTCTGATGGTCTCTTCTCAATAAATGAATCACAGGATCCACTACTTTTGGCAGAAGTCACCCCAGATCCCTATGTAATAAGTCTTCAGAATCTGATGAAAAAGTCAAAGGAATATATAGAAAGAGAACAATCTAGACGCAGTCTGAGAGGTAGTACAAAGAGAATTGTTAATGAGAGTCATTCAGACAAAGAAAATGATGCTGTTAAAGTGGCTGACTGTGTTAAAGAGAAGGCCCAGTTGACAGGCAAACACTGTGTCTCAGTTATTCCTGACAAACCAAGCCTTAATAAATCAAATGTTCTTCTCCAAGGTGCTTCCACTCAAGCAAGCAGCATGAGTATGCCAGTTTTAGCTAGCTTTTCGAAAGTGGACATACCTGTACAAACTGGCCATTCCACTGTTCTAGAACCTAATTCTGATTTTAAAGTTATTCCCACCTTTGTTACTGAAAATAATGTTATCAAAAGTCTTACAGGTTCTTATGCCAAATTACCTAGTCCGGAGCCAAGTATGAGTCCTAAAATGCATCGAAGGCGTTCCAGGACATCATCAGCATGTCATATACTTATAAATAACCCAGTAAATGCCTGTGAATTAAGCCCTAAAGGAAAAGAACAGGCAATGGACTTAATTGTTCATGATACTGATGAAAAAACAAATGTGCCCGAAATTGTGCCAAAGTTACCCATTGATTTAGCAAGCGTTTGTTCAAGCAAGGCTTATGTAGGCAAAAATACATCTGAAGTCATAGAAGATATGGTTTTAGGTAAGTCAAATCAGGTATGTCAATCTTCAGGAAATTATTTAGAAAATAAAGTTACTCATGGACTTGTTACTGTGGAAGGTCAGTTAACATCCAATGAGAGAGCTGCACACAAAATAAACAGTACCTGTGCTGCGACGCCAAAGCTGCATGAACCATATGCCAGCAGTCAGTGCATAGCAAGTCAAAACTTTGGAACTGTGAGTGGACTCAAGCCAGCCAGTATATCAGACAAAAACTGCAGTTTACAAACAGAACTGAATAAGTCTTATGATGTAAAAAATCCTTCTCCTTTACTAATGCAAAACCAGAATACGAAACAGCAGATGGACACACCTACGGTGTCGTGTGGAAATGAACCATTTTTGGATAACAGTTTTGAGAAAGTTAAACGGAGACTTGATTTGGATATTGATGGTTTGCAAAAAGAAAACTGCCCTTATGTCATAACAAGTGGAATAACTGAACAAGAAAGGCAACATTTGCTAGAAAAAAGATACACCAAGGGACCTGTCTTCATTAACAAGAATAAAATGTTAGAAACCAGTTCCAAAGGTAAGGGATCCTTGAAGTGTTTCATACTGCATATGATACCTTTATTTTAATACTCTTAATTGACATTTTTGGGCAGAAAAATGGTCTTTATTCATATGGGCACTTAATTTTATTTATCTTATTAGAAAGCATATAGTCAGCTACAGTTTACTGCCATTTGATAGGTTTTCTTTTTTTTTTTTTTTTTTTTTTTTTTGAGACAGAGTTTCACTCTTGTTACCCAGGCTGGAGTGCAATGGCACGATCTCGGCTCACTGCAACCTCCGCCTCCTGGGTTCAAGCAATTCTCCTGCCTCAGCCTCCTGAGTAGCTGGGCGTGCCACCATGCCCAGCTGATTTTTAGCATTTTTAGTAGAGACGGGGTTTCACCATGTTGACCAGGATGGTCTCGATCTGTTGACCTCGTGATCCACCTGCCTCGGCCTCCCAAAGTGCTGGGATTACAGGCTTGAGCCACCGCGCCCGGCCTTTGATAGGTTTTCTTAAAAGCTATTCTTGAGACAAGGTCTGGCTCTGTCACCCCAGGTTGGAGTGAAGGGGCATGATCTCAGCTCACTGCAACCTCTGCCTCCTGGGCCCAAGCCATCCTCCCACCTCATCCTCCAAAAGTAGCTGGGACTACAGACTCATGCCACCATGCCTGACTAATTTTCATATTAGTCAGGGATGGGATTTCCACCATGTTGCCCAGGCTGGTCTGAGACTCATGAGCTCAAGTGAGCATCCCGTCTCAGCCTCCCAAAGCTCTGGGATTACAGACATGAGCCATTGCACCAAGCCAGGATTTTCTTTTTTGAGGCAGTCTGGCATGGTTGCCCAGGCTGGAGGGCAGTTGTGCAACCTTGGCTAACTGCTACCTCTGCCTCCTGGTTCAAGCAATTCTCATGCCTCAGCCTCCTGAGTAGTTGGGATTATAGGCATGCCTGGATGAATTTTATTTAAATGATGAAGCTTTCATAGTCGACTTGGTATTACTGAGAATATTATTAATAACTGGAGGAAAGAGGTTTTTTGAGACAAGAGTCTTGCTCTGTTGCCAGGCTCTTAGCTCTTATTGGGATCTTAGCTCACTGCAACCCCTGCTTCCTGGGTTCAAGTGATTTTTGTGCCTCAGCCTCCTGAGTAGCTGGGATTACAGGTGCGCACCACTGCACCCAGCCCAAAACAGTTCTTGCCTGAAACATCACTTGCAGTTTAATCTGTGTATAACTATGAGGTCTTTCTTTTGGACTATGGTTTCTAATGTTTACTTCAGTCTGCTTTTTCATTTGTAGTGCGATCTTCATGTAGTTGGCCCTTCAGTAGACTCTTTAACATCAAATTATTAGACAAAATATCAGAAATAAGGCTCTGAGTGGTGGTTCAAAAATGGTTCTTTAGGCCAGGCACGTAATCCCAGCACTTAGGGAGACTGAGGCAGGTGGATCGTTTGAGGTCAGTAGTTCAAGACCAGCCTGACTAACATGCTGAAACCCCTCTCTACTAAAAATACAAAAATTAGCCTTAGTGGTACATGTTTATAATCCCAGCTACTTGGGAGGCTGAGACAGGAGAATTGCATGAACTCAGGAGGTGGAGGCTGCAGTGAGCTGCGATTGCGCCAGTGCACTCCAGCCTGGGTGACAGAGCCAGACTCCGTCTCAAAAAAAAAAAAAAAAAAGGAAGGGTCTTTATTAATAAAAATTATTTCAGTTTTTTCTGATGTGTCCATTAACAAGAATTTATTTATGAAAGCGTGTTTTTTTCCTTCATTACGCCTTACTTTGTTGTCATGGTTCATAATTTATTACTGATATAGAAGACATAAATCAAATAAATTAAGCTCTTAGGGCTTATGGGAAATACAGTTTTGGGTCAGACTGCTTAAAACCTGTGCAACTTTATTTTTTTTAATTTTTTAATTTTTAATTTTTATTTTTTTTTTTTTTGAGACGGAGTTTTGCTCTTGTTACCCAGGCTGGAGTGCACTGGCGCGATCTTGGCTCACCGCAACCTCCACCTCCTGGGTTCAGGCAATTCTCCTGTCTCAGCCTCCTGAGTAGCTGAGATTACAGGCACGCACAACCATGCCCAGCTAACTTTTTGTATTTTTAGTAGAGACGGGGTTTCACCTTGTTGACCAGAATGGTCTTGATCTCTTGACCTTGTGATCCACCCGCCTTGGCCTCCCAAAGTGCTGGGATTACAGGCTTGAGCCACCGTGCCCGGCCAACTTTATTTTTTTTAATTTAAAAAAAAATTTTTTTTTTTTAAGGTAGGGTCTTTGCTCTGTCGCCCAGGCTGGATTGCTTTCATGCGATCTTGGCTCACTTCAGGCCTGGGTTTGAGAGATTCTCCCACCTCAATCTTCTAAGTAGTTGGTATTTACAGGCATGCACCACCACGCCCAGGTAAGTTTTGTATTTTTTGTGGAGACAGGGTTTCACCATGTTGGCCAGACTGGTCTTGAACTCCTAAGCTCAAGTGATCAGCCCTCCTTGGCCTCCCAAAGTGCTGGGATTACAGGTGTGAGCCATCAGTCCTGGCCCATCCTGTGCAACTTTATCAGAGCTCTAATAAAAACAACCACTGTAACCTGGGGAGCCAACTTGAATACTCTAAGTAAACAGCACAGCAAGGTAAGAGGTTGCCTCAGTGAATATCAGAAGTACATAAGACCAATGGAGTGGAAATGTCTTTCTTTTTTTCTTTTTTTGGGGATGGAGTTTTGCTCTTGTTGCCCAGGCTAGAGTGCAATGGTGCAATTTTGGCTCACTGCAACCTCCACCTCCCGGGTTCAAGCAATTCTCCTGCCTCAGCCTCCCAAGTAGCTGGGATTACAGACATGCACCACTAAGCCCAGTTAATTTTTGTACTTTTAGTAGAGATGGGGTTTCACCATGTTAGTCAGGCTGGTCTTAAACTCCTGACCTCAAGTGATCCACCTGCCTCGGCCTCCCAAAGTGCTGAGATTACAGGCGTGAGCCATCATGCCCGGCCTGGAGTGGCAATTTCTAGTAAGTGTTTTAATGCAAGATGAGCCTGCAGTCTTGGAGGCAGTCAGGTAGCTGTCAAAGTGGGCAAAGGAGACAGTGCCATGTGCTGAGAGCTGCCTCAGTGGGCCTATTTATAGAGTTTTTGAGATAGAGCTGAATGGACTCCTGTTGACTAAGCAGTTGAGTTGAGGGACTTTTTCCTTTCTTGCTGAAGGTTATGATTCTACTTTCCAGCTCCCCTTGCCTATGAAAAGCTACATATAAACAAATGCAGGCTGGGCATGGTGGCTTATACCTGTAATCCTAGCACTTTGGTAGGCCATGGCAGGAGGATCACTTGAGGCCAAGAGTTCAAAAGCAGCCTGGGCAATATAGCAAGACCCCATCTCTACAAAATATACAAAAATTAGCCTGGTGTGCTGGCATATGCCTGTAGTCCCAGCTACTCTGAAGGCTGAGGTGGGAGGATCACATGAGCCCTAGAGTTTGAGTCTACAGTGAGCTGTGTTGGCACTATTGCACTCTAGCCTGGGCAACAGAGCAAGACTAGATCTTAAAAAAAAAAAAAAAAAATTTTAAAAATGCATATTGTTGTAGTTGAATAAAATGTTTTTAGGAACAAATTATGGGAAGACTATAGCAGTAGGATAATAGTACATAAGATACTCAGGGAAAATCATTGACTGTATATTTGGGAAGAATGATTCGTTGAATTTAGTTGAATTATAATGGGTCCATGAATATATACTTGCTATATAAACATACTTGGTATTTCTTTTCTTTTCTTTTTTTTTTTTTTTTTTGAGACGAAGTCTCGCTCTGTCACCAGGTTGGAGTGCAGCAGCGTAATCTTGGCTCACTGCAACCTCTGCCTCATGGGTTCAAGCGATTTTCCTGCCTCAGCCTCCCAAGTAGCTGGAACCACAGGCACGCACCACCACTCCCAAATTTTTGTATTTTTAGTAGAGATGGGGTTTCACCATGTTGGCCAGGATGATCTCAATTCCTGACCTCGTGATTTGCCCATTTCGGCCTCCCGAAGTGCTGGGATTACAGGTGTGAGCCATAGCACCCAGCCCATAGTTCGTAATTCTACATTTCAACATGGCTTACCACATTCTATTTAGTAAGTGCATTGTCATAATGTTTTCTCTTAAAATTTTTAGTTAGTAACTAAAATATCTGGAATTTTAATGTACAGTCCTTTTTGAAACCTGAAGCTGAGGCCGGGCACGGTGGCTCAAGCCTGTAATCCCAGCACTTTGGGAGGCTGAGGTGGGTGGATCACGAGGTCAAGAGATCGAGACCATCCTGGCCAACATGGTGAAACCCCGTCTCTACTAAAAATACAAAAAATCAGCGGGGCATGGTGGCACATGCCTGTAATCCCAGCTACTCAGGAGGCTGAGGCAGGAAAATTGCCTGAACCCAGGAGGCGGAGGTTGCGGTGAGCTGAGATTGTGCCATTGCACTCCAGCCTGGGTAACAAGAGCGAAACTCCGTCTCAAAAAAAAAAAAAAAAAAACCTGAAGCTGAGAAAGCTTTATACCATCAAAGAAACATTTACTTTGAAAATCAAAACAAGACAAAACTACAAGCTACAATACTAGAGATCCTGGAAGACAAGTGTCAAAAGAAAAAATGATGGTAGGATACAGTTGTTTGAAACCACATCTGAAAGTTAAGTAGAGTCAGGAGAGTCTTGTCGGAATGTATAGTACTGGGCCTATCATTTCAGATCAGGATGGGATCTGTTGAACGAGTGGGTAAAGGTGATGCAATACAGGTTTTACTTTATTGTGTAGCATGAAATAAAAGGAATGGAAAATGTGAATGTGGTTCAAAGTGGAGACCCAGCTATATCTTGATCATATTATGTCAGATCCAGGAATACTTTCTTGTTGGAAGGATAACTTAAATTGATCATATAAAATATCAGACATTAGACTTGTAGTGAATTTTCTAAATTGAGGAGACATGTTTCTTTTCAGAAAGCGAGGAGTTACTAAAAAGCAAGATGTTAGCTTTTGAAGAAATGCGGAAGAGACTAGAAGAACAGCATGCTCAGCAGTTATCACTACTCATAGCTGAGCAGGAAAGGGAACAGGAAAGATTGCAAAAGGTGAGGAATGTGCGGGGAGATACAGCTGGTAAGTGAAATTTAGCCAAGGAATACCTATGAATTTTAGTCATGTATAGAATACTTGTAATTTTTTCCTCCATATATTATAAGGTAAGAGAGTCATTTTGGTACGTGAATGGTAGTTTTTGTCAAAAGGTGAAGTTTGTTATTTAGATCCTTATCTAAAAGTAATTTCGTAATTTATCAAGAGGATATTTTATTGAATCCTTGATTCAAAACTTAATATTTTTAAAAGGTATTTTATAAATAGGTGCTAAAGCACACATTCTGCAAGAGTTATCAGAATGACACTTGTGCTGGGCGTGGTGGTGTGAGCCTGTAGTCGCAGCTACTCAGGAGGCTGAGGTGGGAGGATCGCTTGAGCTCAGAAGTAAGCTATGATTTCGCCTTTGTGTGGCCACTGCACTCCAGCCTGGGCAACAGAGTGAAACCCTGTCTCTATTTAAAAAAAAAAAAAAAAGACACTTGTTATAAGATTATTGTAGTTAATAATTTAACTATACATTATCACATTTTAAAATAAATTATAGGCTGGGTGAGGTGGCTCACACCTGTAATCCCAGCACTTTGGGAGGCCAAGGCAGCTGGATCACCTGAGGTCAGGAGTTTGAGAACACCCTGGCGAACATATAGTGAAACCTCATCTCTACTACAAAATACAAAATAGTGGTGCACACCTGTAGTCGCAGCTACTTGGGAAACTGAGGCAGGAGAATCGCTTAAAGCCGGGAGGCGGAGGTTGCAGTGAGCTGAGATCATGCCATTGCACTCCAGCCTGGGAGACAGAGTGAGACTCTGTCTCTCAAAAATAATAAATAAATAAATAAGTATAATTGAAGAAGAAGAACTTGAAATAATTTGCTGATAATTACACGTACTTTAAGCCTAAAATGGTATCGTTTTGGGCTATAATTAAAAGGTTTAGCATGTTATAATAAACTGTTAATCTATAGGAAATAGAAGAACAGGAGAAAATGTTAAAAGAGAAGAAGGCAATGACAGCGGAAGCCTCCGAATTGGACATTAACAATGCAGTGGAGTTAGAATGGAGAAAAATAAGTGACTCCAGTCTGCTGGAAACAATGCTGTCTCAAGCGGACTCACTCCATACTTCAAATTCAAATAGTTCTGGTAAATATTTTAAAATCCTTTTACATTTGAGAAAATGATGCTACAGTAGGATATGTATTTGGCACACCATAAGATTGTATCTCCTGTTTTCAAATAATTCCATGTCCAACTCACTACTGTTTGTCAGCTGCTTAGTAACTAGTGAAAAATGACATGATAGGAGTTCAAAGACTTGTGAGCAGATGTTTGTTAGCAAAGATTACCTTTGCTAGGAAAATATCAGGAAATTCGGCTCAGAGCCCAGTCTGTGATCGCTCATGCAGCAGGTGATATACTTCAAGTGAAAATAGTTTGCTCTCTCCTGAATCATCTTGAATTACCTCTAATTCCCTAGTCCCTTTAAAGAGCTTATCTTCATATCTCAATTATCCTGAGATGCTGTTTGTGTTGAAAAGATCCATGTGGTACATAAGTTTTAAAGTCCATAAATATTTCAAGTTGGCAGATGGGTCAGTTTGGGAGGCAGTTCTTTTTCTTAATGAGTGTCACAAGTGTTTATCAGGATGTTCTTCATATTCCAATTATATGACATCAAGTATGATAAACTATATGCATGTTTCTCTAGGTTTCACAAATTCGGCCCTGCAATATAGCTTTGGTTCTGCAAATGAATCACCATTCTACCTCTGGGGATCATCAGCTGGTGGCTTAACCAAACTCTCAGTAACAAGGCCTTTTGGAAGAGCCAAAACTAGATGGTCTCAAGTGAGTAAACTTAATTATATATGTCCACATATCTACTTATCTTTTTAAAAGAGCTATACATCTTAGACTGTATAAATGAATGCCAGTAAACATTGTGTCTGTCTTCTTTCTCCTAGGTTTTTAGTCCGGAAATACAAGCAAAATTTAGCAAAATAACTGCAGTGGCAAAAGGATTTCTTACTCGTAGACTTATGCAGACAGATAAGCTGAAGCAACTTCGACAAACTGTAAAAGTAAGATTCCTGTAAATCGTTTGTATTTCACTTCTGTCTAGTTTCTGTCAGTCTTGTGATAGCTTAGCTGACAGATTTGTTCACAACTTAAACATTTTTTAGTTACTGTGATACAGTTTTAGAAATCTGATTGTTAATCTTCCTCAGATAATATTATGAAAAACATGTAAATGAAGTAGTTTGTGTGTTTTTGTCTTGCTTCAAAGTAAGTGCTGTTTGACTTCTAATAATTTTATTTATATGCTTAGTACAGTTGGCTCTCTGTCTCTTGGTTCCACATCAGTGAATTCAGCCAACCATGGATCAAAAAAAATTCAGAAAAAACAAATGATGGTTGTGTCTGTACTGAACATGTACAGATTTTTTTCTTGTCTTTATTTCCTAAACAATATAACAACTATTTACATAGCATGTACATTTATTAGGCATTTTAACTAATATAGAGATGATTTAAAGTATATGGGAGATGTGCTTAGATTATATGCAAATACTAAATCATTTTCTATAAGGGACTTGAACATCCTTGGGTTTTGGTATCTGAGCGATTCCTGGAACCAGTCTCCCACAGATACTGAGGAAAGACTGTAATTTTGGATTGACTGAGAAAAAGAAAAAAGGAAACTCCAGTGATCACAAATCTTTCTAGAAAAATGTTCTTGAAGGAGTATTTCTTTTTTCAGGATACTATGGAATTCATAAGAAGTTTTCAGTCAGAGGCACCATTAAAGAGAGGTGTTGTTTCAGCTCAGGATGCTTCACTTCAGGAAAGAGTGTTAGCTCAGGTAAATACATGGATCCTGAGGGCTTTTAAGATGTGGACATGTCCTATTTCTCCTTTTTTATTTAATCACTGAAAATACGTTTCAATGAAAACTATTTTAACATTTTTTTTTTTTTTTTGAGACGGAGTTTCGCTCTTGTTACCCAGGCTGGAGTGCAATGGCGCAATCTCGGCTCACCGCAACCTCCGCCTCCTGGGTTCAGGCAATTCTCCTGCCTCAGCCTCTTGAGTAGCTGGGATTACAGGCATGCACCACCATGCCCAGCTAATTTTTTTTTTTTTGTATTTTTAGTAGAGACGGGGTTTCACCATATTGACCAGGATGGTCTTGATCTCTCGACCTCGTGATCCACCCGCCTCGGCCTCCCAAAGTGCTGGGATTACAGGCTTGAGCCACCGCGCCCGGCCCTATTTTAACATTTTTCTATAAATAAGTGTACATGGTATATAGTATTCCTCAACTCTAACCTCATCTTTTTTTTTTTTTTTTTTTTTTTTTTTGAGACAGAGTGTTGCTCTTGTTACCCAGGCTGGAGTGCAATGGCACGATCTCGGCTCACCGCAACCTCCGCCTCCTGGGTTCAGGCAATTCTCCTGCCTCAGCCTCCTGAGTAGCTGGGACTACAGGCACGTGCCACCATGCCCAGCTAATTTTTTGTATTTTTAGTAGAGACGGGGTTTCACCACGTTGACCAGGATGGTCTCGATCTCTCGACCTCGTGATCCACCCACCTCGGCCTCCCAAAGTGCTGGGTCTAACCTCATCTTTTAAATGTATACAATATTTTCTTCTTTTGTGCCTAGTTGCGAGCTGCCCTGTATGGTATTCATGACATATTCTTTGTAATGGATGCAGCTGAAAGAATGTCTATTCTACATCATGATCGAGAAGTTCGCAAAGAGAAAATGCTCAGGCAAATGGTATGTTACATGATTTCTAATGAATAGAGTTCTTCTGGGTTTAAGGTAATTGAGACTGTCATTTTTGGTTGACTTCAGCACCCTTATGATAATTCTTAAACACAAGTAATTCCTAGGATTACTAGCAACATTTAAATCTGTAGACAGATTTAAAAGAATTACATAATGTAAGAATTACATATTGTTTTCTGATTGGATTTTAGAGTTGAAGCTTTGAATGTTTTGTTCAGATGGCTTTATACAATCTGTCAGTTGCTCCTGATTGAATTTCCTTGAATTCAATTATAATGTGGGTTTTGCTTTTTTTGAAATCTGTTAGAAAACAGGCTCCAAATTAATTTGAAGTATATTGGAGTCTGTGATTTGAATCAGTTATCTTAGTGTGACTGACAAAGGAAAAGCAAGTAAAATTTACATAATTTTAATTATTTAATTCTTAGACTGCTTCAAAAATATGAAACAAGATGATTTAACTAAATTTAAAATGTTAGTAGAGAGAAGCTTTTCCAGACAATTTGGGATCATTCTGTATTATAACATAGTGGTATTATTGGTACCAGTAGAGTTTGATATTACTTTTGTATATTGAAGGATAAAATGAAAAGTCCACGAGTGGCACTTTCAGCTGCAACACAGAAGTCTCTGGATAGGAAGAAATACATGAAGTAAGTTTTTTTATCATGTCATGTTAGTTATCAACTCAATTAATTTTAGTTATCTGTTGGTTTGTTTGCATATTTAAATTTAGAAATGAAGAAGTGTTTTTCTGCAGTTGAGCTGATAGAAATCCCTTTATATAAAGAAATTCATTAAAGTCAGGTGCTAAAATATCATTTCATCTTTAGATGAATTTATTTACTAAATTTGTCAGCATTCAACTTATATAATTGATAGCTGATCAATCTTAAACACAGTTAATCTTTATATTCAGTGCCTAAATGTATTCCTTTTCTGATATCCTAAACATTTCTTGGGAATAAAAACTTAAGGGGAAAAATGTCTTAATAACTTTTTAAAAAATTCTTTTTTCTTGAACGCAGTCTTTAATATGCTTAATACAGGTACACCAGCTTCTAAATGATGATTTGTTTCTGTCATCCTGTATTACACTTGTAAGCGTGTTTTCCTCCCTTCACTAAATATATTATGTCCCTATTTTTATATTGTGTTAGAGCTGCTGAAATGGGAATGCCAAATAAGAAATTTCTGGTTAAACAAAATCCTTCTGAAACAAGGTGAGAAAAATCACTTAATCTCAATGAGAGGCTTTTTGTTTTTCATAGAAAAAAAAAATTGGGCGGGCATGGTGGCTCACACCTGTAATCCCAGCACTTTGGGAGGCTAAGCCGGGAAATCACCTGAGGTCGGGAATTCGAGACGAGCCTCACCAACATGGAAAACCCTGTCTCAACTAAAAATTCAGAATTAGCTGGGCATGATGGCACATGCCTGTAATCCCAGCTACTTGTGAGACAGACAAAGGGGAATCGCTTAAACTCGGGAGGTGGAGGTTGCAGTGAGCCAAGATCACGCTATTGCCCTCCGGCCTGGGTAACAAGAGTGAAACTCCATCTCAAAAAAAAAAAAAAAAAAGAAAAAATTTGTAAGTCCCAAACTTCATTTTCATTGACTTTGTTCTACTTGACATCAGTAGAACACTTCTTGCTGAATTGGTTGGGGGGTCGTCCATAGGCTCAAGATTCATATGAATACCTGGCTGTATACTTGGTCCCATGTCAGACCAGATGTGCCTGGAGCTTTTGTAGGGCATGCTATCTGTGGTAGAAATTTGAGCCTGATATGTCTTGTGTTCAGTTACACAGTCCAGAGGATCTTTGATACTTATCTAAAAACCTTAGAAAGCTAACTTAAGCAGGGCCAGGGGCAGTGGTTCACACCTGTAGTCCTAGTACTGAGGAGGTCGAGGCGGGTGGATCACGAGGTCAGGAGTTTAAAACAAGCCCGGCCAACATGGTGAAACCCCGTCTCCACTAAAAATACAAAAAGCTGGGTGTGTTGGAATGTGCCTGTAATTTTGGCTACTCAGCAGGCTGAGGCAGGAGAATTGCCTGAACCTAGGAGGCGGAGGTTGCAGTGAGCCAAGATAGCGCCATTATAGTCCAGACTGGGCGACAGAGCAAGCCTCTGTCTCAAAAACACAAAAAACAAAAATAAAAAAAGCTAACTTAAGCTGAGCTCAGTGGCATGTTCCTGTAGTCCCAGTTACTTGGGAGGCTGAGGCAGGTGGATAGCGTAATCCCAGGAGTTCAGACCAGTCTGGGTGACATAGTAAGACCTATCTCAAAAAAATAAAGAAAGCTAAAAAGCAAACTTTAGTAGTTCTGACCTGTTTTTCACACCTGTAAAATGAGAGCAATATTTTCTTCTCTCAACCTGCTTGAAAGGAAAGGTTAGCTTTTGTAAAATATATGTATAAGAAAATTATCTTAAAGCACAAGGGTTAGTCTGTATGTTGGCCATTTCTTAGTCTGTATGTTGGTGATAAAAACCTAAGGTTTGGACTTTCAGTGAGCAAAATATAAGTACCATATTAATATGCTTTAGTCAATTTGCTTTGCTTTGTGGTAATATACAGGCTGTATTATTGCATAGATGACTTTCTCCTTACTGTCATCATCTTTCATCCGTTGAAAGACAATGGATAAAAATGGCATTTATCCTTTTAAATTAATTTTTTATTTAATTTGTCAACAGAGTCCTTCAGCCAAACCAAGGACAGAATGCACCTGTTCATAGGCTACTTAGTAGACAAGGGTAAGAATGCCACACACGGGTATTGGAAACTACGAAAACCAAGATTAGATTCAGAGGGGAAAAATAAAGCCTAGTGTTCTTTACATAAAGGATACTGGTTTTTCAAATGTGATTTTTTTTAATAACATTGGGAAAGGTATTTTAAAGTTTTGTCTTCAAATTTAACCCTCCTAGTGTACTGTTGTGTATTCTAATTACTATCTTATGTTGGCATGTTTTTACTTTTCATTTCATATCATTTTACTCATTATGTATTTTAAATATCCATATAGTAAATTCATCCTCACTGAAGTGATTCTCCAACAGAGTATGAGTCATGCTTCTAGTCTCCTGCTGAAGCCAGAGTTTAGCTTTCCTTGCTGTGCACATGCATGGGACTCCAGTTCTTTTCAAGCTTATTTGTGCTTTGAACAGTTGATGCAATGTGATTGCTTTCTTTGAATTTTGAACATTTAGACCTTAATGCCAGTGACTTATTAATTTTTTTATATTCAATTAGAACCCCTAAGACATCAGTGAAGGGGGCTGTGCAAAATAGACAGAAGCCTTCACAGAGCAGAGTGCCTAACAGAGTGCCTGTTTCAGGTGTGTAGAAAATGAATTTCTGAAGCCCATTCAATAGAAGGAAGTGCACAAGCCGCCCCGTAACTCAGGCCACAGAAGTGGAATAGATTGTCTTTCCTTGCCACCATAATTTTGGCATATTCATGGTCATCCAATTAGTGTTCTTTGGTCTTAGCGTTTCATGGTAGTCAGGAAGTCTGAGTAAAACTGTTATTCCAATCTTGATTTCTGTAATATTTCTATAATATGGAAAACACCACATATTTTTAATTCTGAAAAAATTGTGGAATTAACCATGCTTAATTCAGAAAACCTTTTTATTTAATGAATAAAAGATAATGATTATCTCTGGTGCTAAGTCTATGCATTGTCTGTTCAGCTTGGGGAAGTGTATCTGCACATAAGGGGATGAAACCTTTCTCCTTCAAACTATAAGATCACATGTGAATATGCCAGTGGGAGGAGGTCTTCATATTTTGCTGTCAGAAGCTTGAGTTAAATCTCTCCTTATGTTCATTATTTGAGGATTAAGAGCTAAACTAAAAACTGTGTTTTAAAATTCTGTTTATGGTGGCAAGAAGACAAACTCATTCTTGAGCTAATTCAAAGCTCTTTAGCCAAATGCTTTAATATTTTTAAGGTATCTTTGTTAAGACACTTTTATTAAGCTCACTAAAAAATTGTGATCCATTTAAAAATACTTTCCAAATGTTGTGCTTTAACTATACTGCTTTCTAGACATTTACAAGAAACCTAAATTGAAACCTAAATTACTCACCGGGCATTGAAGACTAAACCTCTAATCAGTTCTAATCTTTCCATTAATATATAATTAGGTAAATTTGAGAGCTTTTATTACTAAGTGATTCCCTTCAAATTAGGGAACAAGCTATTGATCGTAACTTTGAAATGATGGCTTACCTTTTGTATGTATGTAGTGAATGTAATTCATAGTGTCACACACATATGGTATAATTTAAAAGGTCATCTTTGGAAATCATTGAGTGACAGTTAATGGAATTGTCATAAAGGATTACATAGCTGAAGATACTGCTTGCTCCAGAGGCAGTCAGAATAAGCTAGTTTGAAAGGTAACCATTTGAAAGGACTCAGACCAAACACCAGATCTGTGGAATTTTAAGACATTTTCTGTTTTTCCCATGTTAGTGTTCTGTATCGCACTGAATCTTAGCAAGTTGGAAAATCATTGAGGAATTAGCATTATTATTTTGCCTGATATCAGTTTGCCACAGTGACTACTCTCCATGTTTCTTTCTCATGCATTTCATCTCCACTATTTGTCACTTGTGAACCTGTAAGCAAAACAGCAAGTACTGTTTTTATTCAGCAATACTCAACAGTATAAAGGATTATAGGCAGTCACTGAAGTTAATAACATAGAATGAAGTTTATTATTTTGAACTATTGAGGTTTAATTGCATTGCAACATAATTATTTAATACAAATGAACTTAACCCTTGAATTAACATGTACAATCAATAGGTGTCTAAACAAATACAAAAATCTGCTGTTTTCTAAAGATTTACTTGTATATGAGTGCATGTTTAGGCAATTGAAAGAGACGAAATAATTGGTTGGTTTTTTTATTTTGTTTTGTTTTTTGAGACAGAGTCTCACTCTTGTCGCCCAGGCTGCAGTGCAGTGGCATGATCTTGGCTTACTGCAACCTCTGCCTCTTGGGCTCAAGCGATTCTCCTGCCTCAGCCTCCTGAGTAGCTGGGATTTCAGGCACCTGCCACCACACCCAGCTAATTTTTTGTATTTTTAGTAGTGACGGTGTTTCACCATGTTGGCCACACTGGTCTCGAACTCCTGACCTCGTGATCCACCCACCTCAGCCTCCCAAAGTTCTGGGATTATAGGCATGAGGCACCGTTCCCAGCTAGAATTGTATTCTTTTATATAAACAGAGAGTTTGGGATACTGGTGGGTTAAAATGCCAACTATGAATCTGAACACAGGAATCCATTGTTGCTCTTGAAAGGATTATTGTTTCCTGCTTAGAGGTTTTTTGTTTTTTGTTTTTTTGAGACGGCGTTTCACTCTTATTGCCCAGGCTGGAGTGCAATGGCATGATCTCAGCTTACTGCAACCTCTGCCTCTCAGGTTCAAGTGATTCTCCTGTCTCAGCCTCCTAAGTAGCTGGGATTACAGGCATGTGCCATCACACCTGGCTAATTTTTGTGCTTTTAGTAGAGAATGGGGTTCACCATATTGGCCAGGCTGGTCTTGAACTCCTGACCTTGTGATCCACCTGCTTCAGCCTCCCAATGTGCTGGGATTACAGGTATGAGCCACCGCGCCCAGCCTCCTGCTTAGAGTTTTAATGGTCTGAATTATGTTTTAAACAAATTTGAAATTATGTTTTGATTTGCTCTGAATGGAGGCAAACCCTTTATTAACCAATTTATAGAAAAGTCATTTTTTTCATGATAGAATATCGTACTCTTAGACTGAAGTGGAATTCTAAAGTGTTAAAGTATGCTGCAAAGCATTTGGTTATTTATAGTGTTACAAACCTAAGTTGCCATCTCTGATGTTATCCTAAGTGATCTTTGACTTGCAGTTTAAAAACACAATTCTTCATTTGATGTTTTATGCTTGACTAGAATTTATAGTGAAATTCCGAAACCACTAATCAAAGCAGAGTAGGAGGTGGTCATGCAAAATGGTTAAGTAAAATAACACATCAGGTGGCAGTGGCTTATCAGACTTCTTACTTCTAGCTCTGTTCCTTAGGCAAGTGCTCTCCTATGCCTCAGCTTTATTACCCTTAAAATGGTCGTAACAATTTCTGCCTCAGGATGATTCATAGAAGGATTAAATATGATAATGTATATTGCTTAGCTCAGTGCTTGTTCCAGAGTAAGCACTCATTAAATTGTATCATTATAGGAAATCTACTATTGAGAAATAATATTAGTTTTGCTCTATTTTTAGGAGTATATGCAGGAAAAATCCAAAGAAAGCGGCCAAATGTTGCGACAATTTAAGAAGACAACATTCATTAGGATAAAATGGGGGAGGATTATTATCCATGTTATTTTCCCGGCCCAAGACTTTATTTAACTCTGGACTCTGTTTACACAGACAAAGTGACGTCAGAAGGCTGAGCACTTATCTGGATCATTTGGTCAGTTTGCTAATTCCTGTTCCACACCCCTGTGTTCCTCTTAATAATAAGTTTGGGTGAAGAAAAATTAGTGTTTAGTAATTGCATCATCTCTGTGCTTACCTATACAAACATAAGTTTGTTTTATGTGCCCAGATGTCTACAGAGACCCTTTTTGTAAACATAAAGGACATTTGGGTTTACTTTTACAGAATATTGAAAGGATATGACAAATTATAAATAGGTTCTAAAACGTAAATTTCATTCATCTCTGCATAGTGATTTTTGAATTTGATTCAAGGGGAAATTATTGCAGAAGAATGCCTTTCCCTGATTTTATAACTTTAAAAACTTGGATTAACCGCTCAATGTCCACATTCTTTGACTTACAGTATAACCATATAGCCAATTGTGGTCCACTAAAATGACCCACAGAAGTTGCTGTGGGTCACTTTTGGTCAGAAGTATACATTCCTGTCAACAACTAATTGTCTTACAGAAATGTTAGGCTTCATGTATGTTACCCCAGTACTGTTAGAAACATTTATACTGGATCATAAGATCTTTCTGGCTGGGTACCATGGCTCATGCCTGTAATCCCAGCACTTTGGGAGGCCAAGGCGGGTGGATCACCTGTGGTCAGGAGTTTGAGACCAGTCTGACCAACATGGAGAAACCTCACCTCCCCTAAAAATACAAAATTAGTCAGGTGTGGTGGTGCATGTCTGTAATCCCAGCTAATCGGGAGGCTGAGGCAGGAGAATCGCGTGAACCTGGGAGGCAGAGGTTGTGGTGAGCCAAGATCCCGCCACTGCACTCCAGCCTGGGCAATGAGAGCGAAACTTTGTCTCAAAAAAAAAAAAAAAAAAGCAAATTTGGGGAAGACAGCACAATCTTCTTGAATGTAGCTCTTGGGAATGCATTATTACATCCATTTCTGTAAAATAAGAATAATGTGTTGCATGCAGTTATATTTTCTATTTAGTCTATATATTTTGTTTCTTCACAGTCTGTTTTTTCTAGCATGCTTGATGTAGGAGAGAATAAAGGGCTATATAATAATAAATCCAGATTTCAGGATAAGATTATTGCCTGGTTAAAATTCTACATTGCTTAAAGACACCCATGTTAAAGATTTTTCATCACTAACATATCCATTAAAAGTATCAATTGGCCGGGCAAGGTGGCCCATGCCTGTAATCCCAGCACTTTGGGAGGCCGAGGCAGGTGGATCACCTGAGGTCAGAAGTTCGAGACCAGCCTGTCCAACATGGCGAAACTCCCATCTCTACTAAAAATACAAAAATTAGTTGGGCGTGGTGGTGCATGCCTGTAGTTCCAGCTACTTGGGAGGCTGAGACTGGAGAATCGCTTGAGCCTGGGAAGCAGAGGTTGCAGTGAGCGGAGATTATGCCACTACACTCCAGCCTGGGCCACAGAGCGAGACTCTGTCTCAAAAAGAAAAAAAGTCTCGACCAATAAATGTTACCAGGAAGACATGACTTCATGAAAGAGAATGTCACTATTAATTTGTCATACCAGTTCTAAAAAGGGCTTTGTGCTTTTCACATAAAATTGGGACAGTGTATATTTAATCTAATGTAAACTTTAAAGAGATACTGTTATTTTGAAAATGCAGCCTATATATATTCTTAATTTCATTTTAAGAATATGGAGATGAAGATTGTTTTCTCCAATATTCTGTGCCATTTTAAATTTAACTTTGATATCCAGCTATAGACCGAAATAATAATCCACCCTGGTGTAAACTTGATTTTCTTTATTGAGATGTATCATGTATTGAATGAGTGAACCAGAAAATTAGAAGATGGTCAAAAAAAGTCCAAGTTACCAATTTTTTTTAACGTATAGGCAAAGTACGTCAAATTATCCTAATACGATAAATGTGCTTTATCATTCTGAAAACTCAGGATACAGCTTATTCATAGCATTGTGGGTCTCTCCAGTAAGAAAGATGCTAAAAGTTTTGTGTATATTTTTTTGTGTGTAATGCAAATTAGTTACAACAAATAGTATGTTTTGGAGAACGTTAAAACTAGCTTTAGATTAAGGATGAGAAACTTGAGTGTGTTTTTAATTTAAAGATAAAAGCGTGTGTTTTACACATTTTTTTGGTGTTCATAGCTTTTTCTTATACAAGTGCCAGACACTGTTTTGTGCTTTTGATGGATTTTTATTTATATACATTATTTTGCTTATTTTTACTTCAAGTTGGAATGTTCATTAATGTAAATTGTATTTATTTTTATACTTTTATTTTCACTAGTTTTGCTTCTAGGCAAAAAGCAAAATAAACTTTTCATCTTAAAGAAAATCTAGTTTGATTGTTTTTATTTACTGGGGAAAAGACTATTAATAAATAGATAGGCCAGGCATGGTGACTTATGCCTGTAAGTCCAGCACTTTAGGAGGCCAAGGCGGGCAGATCACGAGGTCAGGAGTTCAAGACCAGCCTGGCCAACATGGCAAAACCCCATCTCTACTAAATACAAAATTAGCCAGGTGTAGTGGTGCACGCCTGTTAGTTCCAACTGTTTGGGAGACTGAGGCAGGAGAATTGCATGAGCTTGGGAGGCAGAGGCTACAGTGAGCCAAGATCGCACCACTGCACTCCAGCCTGGGTCACACAGTGAGACTCTTATCAAAAGAAAAACAAAAAAGAAATAGATATTAGCCAGGCATGGTGGTGCACATCTGTAGTCCCAGGTACTCTGGAGGCTGAGGCAGGAGGATCACTTGAGCCCAAGAGTTCCAGGCCACAGTGAGCTATGATCACACCATTGCAGTCCAGCCAGGGTGACAGAATGAGACTTTGTCTCAAAAAAAAAAAAAAAAAAAAGAAAGAAAATAGATACTGAAAAATATCTGTCTAAAACAAATATTGTATATAATCACTCTTTACAATTACAAGTTCGATGAAAGATTTATCTCATTATTTAATATGTCACCTGGGCCGGGCACAGTGGCTCATGCCTGAAATCCCAACACTTTGGGAGGCTGAGGCGAGTGGATCACCTGAGGTCAGGAGTTCGATACCAGCCTGACCAATATGGTGAAACCCCATCTCTACTAAAAATACAAAAGTGGCCGGGCGCGGTGGCTCACGCCTGTAATCCCAGCACTTTGGGAGGCCGAGGCGGGTGGATCATGAGGTCAAGAGATCGAGACCATCCTGGTCAACATGGTGAAACCCCGTCTCTACTAAAAATACAAAAAATTAGCTGGGCATGGTGGCGCGTGCCTGTAATCCAGCTACTCAGGAGGCTGAGGCAGGAGAATTGCCTGAACCCAGGAGGCGGAGATTGCGGTGAGCCGAGATCGCGCCATTGCACTCCAAACTGGGTAACAAGAGTGAAACTCCGTCTCAAAAAAAAAAAAAAAGTTAGTCAGGTGTGGTGGCAGGCACCTGTAATCCCAGCTACTTGTTGCTTGTACCCAGGAGGTGGAGGTTGCAGTGAGCTGAGATCATGCCACTCCATTCCAGACTGAGTGGCAAGAGTGGAACTTAGTTACATATATATATTTGCTCTTGTTGCCCAGGCTGGAGTGCAATGGCATGATCTCGGCTCGCTACAATCTCCACCTCCCGGGTTCAAGCGATTCTCCTGCCTCAGCCTCAGGAGGCATGTAGCTATACCAGTGCTTAGTTCAGCATTTTGAGTTTGCATTAGTTGGACTTTTCAGAAGGTAAAAAATCTCAAGCTGGAAATGTCTTATTAAGAGATAAGCCTGCTAAGGGAAGGAGAGGGAGGAAAAGAGAATGCAAAGGTTGGAGCTCACATCAAATCTGTTAATTTGCACAGCTTTAAGAATTTTTCTTTTGTTACTGCCTAGTCCTGTAATGTGAGTGTAGGAAAAGGCTAGTTTGCCCTCTTACTGAGGAGATGTTGCGTGTGATAAGCTGCAAGCCTGTGTGGGAAGAGCCCCTCGCTTTCTCCTGGCCACCCTTTAATCCTTGTTCGCTGCCTGTGTTGGGAATAGTGGGTAGGACTGGAAATACCTTCTTACTCATACTGAGCTGAACACTGGAGGGAGATGATCCTTTTCCCCGTCATAGGTCACCATCCCATGAACAACCACAGACCACCACCCGCAAATGGAAACTAAGAGTTACAAAAACATTGAATGCTGTCTCTCAAGAGACCATAATGGATACCTAAGCAGATTATAAAAATAATTTTGGGGGCTGGGTGCGGTGGCTCACACCTGTAATCCCAACACTTTGGGAGGCCAAGGCAGGTGGATCACCTGAGGTCGGGAGTTTGAAACCAGCCTGACCAACATGGAAAAACTCTGTCTATACTAAAAATACAAAAAATTAGCTGGGCGTGGTGGCACATGCCTGTAATCCCAGCTACTCAGGAGGATGAGGCAGGAGAATCACTTGAACCCAGGATGTAGAGGTTGCAGTGAGCCAAGATCACGCCATTTCACTCCAGCCTGGGCAAGAGCAAAACACCTCAAAAATAAAAATTTTGTCAGGACAAGGTGGCTCACGCCTGTAATTTCAGCACTTTGGGAGGCCAAGGTGGGAGGATCATGAGGTCAGGAGTTCGAGACCAGCCTGATTAACATGGTGAAACCCTGTCTGTCTCTACTAAAAATACAAAAATTAGCCAGACGTGGTGGCACGCATCTGTAATCCCAGCTACTCTGGAGGCTGAGGCAAGAGAATCCCTTGAACCTGAGGGTGAAGGTTGCAATGAGCCGAGATCGTGCCATTGCACTCCAACCTTGGCAATAGAGCGAGACTCTGTCTCAAAAATAAAAATAATTCTCATTATTTATTTACTATTTTGAAACTGAGTCTCGCTCTTGACTCCCAGGCTGGAGTGCAGTGGCACAATCTCAGCTCACTGCAACCTCAGCACCCCCCACCACGCCTGACTAATTTTTGTATTTTTTAGTAGAGACAGGTTTTCACCATGTTGGCCAGACTGGCCCCGAACTCCTGACCTCAGGTGATCCACCAACCTCGGCCTCCCAAAGTTCTGGGATTACAGGTGTGAGCTACCACGCCCGGCCTAAAAATAATTTTTAAAAACAAAGGAGACCTTTAGTCATCAAACACAGAAAAACTGGGATATGGTGTGGTTGGAATCATATCATTAGGGCAAACTGAGGGCAAACATTGTGCCCGACCAAAGTTAGATCTGACAGTAAAATATTACCTTTCACTTCATTTGTTCTATTCTTTGGTCAGCGTTTCTCCATAGCCCTCACTTCTTCAATTTCTCAAGGATATGGACAAAGTTGCCACCCAAACCATGACTTCTCAGCCTCTGGTGGCAAAAAATCCCTTAGTTATTCACACTTTCCATAAAGTTAACTTGTTTCAGGATGACTTCCTATGATCTGTTTCCGAGACATTACGTTAATCAGTTTGGCTGAGTCTGTGTAAGAGCATACCATACTGCTCTTTTCTATGGCCTCCTGAATTACACGGTACCCTCCCATCTGCAATTGCTGCCATCCCTTATGTGTCTGAAGGGACCAGCAGCATCCCTGGGAACTTGTTAAGAAACGCGGAAGCCCAGGCCCCACCCCAGCTGTGACTCAGAATCTGCATTTTAATAAGGTTCTCAGCTGAGTGGTGTCCACATTCACCGCAAGAGAAGCACTGCTTTGTGACAGGTTGCACAGTAGGCTGCCTTGGAGAGAAACGCTCTGGAAACAAAGATCACAGGAGTACCATATGATTCTTTTCTCTGCTCCATGGAAGTATGGCCTCTGTGGAGTGCTGACCATTTGCCAGGCATTTTATAACCCTTTCCCTTCACTTTAAAGTCAAAGTTATCCTAATTTCACAGATGAAAAAGCTAGGACTCTATGTAAAACTACAACCAGGGTTGAAAGCGTATTCTATTGCCTTTTCTAGAGGAGCTCTTTTGAGAATCTGTTTTCCTGACGTCTGTTAAAAACAAACAAACAAACAAACAAACAAAAACTTTAAAGTAAAATTTAAAAATAATAAAAAGTAGGGTCAGATGCTGCTTTGTGATTAAATGACTCCCATTACAGTATTTTGAGTTAGAGTTCAAATCCCAGTTCAGTCACTTGCTACTGGCCTGGTACAATTCACCACACTTTTTTTGAGCTTCAGCTTCTCTAAAATCAAAGGCAATGGTATTTCAGAGGTTTGTAGTGAAGAAGAAATGAAGGGTGTATGCAAAGTGCCTGACACACAGAGTTCAGTGTTTAGTAAATGGTAGCTGTTTTGAAAATATGCTGATTCACCCACTTTTTAAATAAACAGAACACTAAAGCCCGTAAGTTCTCTGGTCGAAATGGATATCCACCTGCCTAGAAACACTGCTTTGCCAAGTGGGACGAAAAGCGAACCCCAATTTCCCCACGTGCATTAGCTGCCGTCAATCACATTGGCTCTAGGGCAGCCCGTGGTTGCTACTCGTGCGAAGGGCATTCCGGAAGTGCCTAAAGCGCCCGCAAAGCAGTGGGTCAAGCGGCGGCCTAGAGGGGGCGTGGCTGACCCAAGCCAAACAGCGCATTAGCGGCAAAACCAGGTACTGGCTGAACCCCCGTTTGCGTCTTCGCTCCGCCAGCTGCTGGAGTCCTTTCCACCCCTAGAGGGCGCAGGTGGGTTAAGCAGCAGTCATGCCCTTCACCATCATGGCGCCCGCAGGCAGGACCACCCGGCACTGTAGTCAACTGCCCTTTACAATCATGGCTCATAGAAACTCTGTGGCACGCTGCTAGAGGCCGACGCTGCTCCTCAGAAGCATGGCGCCGGCGGAAGTCGTAACCTGGGCCGTCCTGAGCCAGCGGTTGCCCCTCATAAGCATGGCGTCGGCTGAAAACGAAGCCTGTGCCGTGCAGAGCATCGCCTGCCCCTCTCAAGCATGGCGCCTGCAGACGGTCCGTTTGGACTCTGCGGGGCGGGCAGGTGCCCTTCACAAAGATGGCGGTCAGGGCAGGCGTGGCGTGGCGTGGCGTGGCGTGGCGGGGCGTGGCGTGGCGTGGCGTGGCGTGGCGTGGCGTGGCGTGGCGTGGCGGGGCGGGGCGGGGTCTGGACGGCGGAAGCCGGGTCGAAGGTCCCAGAACAAGCGGTCATGTGACTGGGAAGATGGCGGTCTTCCCTTGGTAAGTTAGCAGCGGCGGCTGGGCTTCGGGGAGGAGCTGTCCTCAGTTGTGTCGGGGTCTGTCTGGGTCTGAGAATGGGAATTCCTCTCTGTCAGGTTCTGGTGGTCGCCTGCCCACCCCTAAGTTGTCTTGACCGTAGAATCTCTGGCCGCTGCCGCGGTCCTGCGGAGCAACCTGAAGCCAGCTGGCGTGTTCTTGGTTCTCTCCCCGTCTGCTGCCTCTCTGCGGCCTTCCACGGCCCCCTGTCCATTGCTTCTGTAAAGAAAACTTGTGTTTCCCGGCTTCTGGGTCTCCAGAAGTTGGCGTGTGTTCTGGGGTCGCTGGATGAAGGGTATGGTGGACTCGGCCCTCAGTCTAGACGAGTCGGCAGACATGGCTGTCGGTGAGTTATCCTGAGCTGCTCTGTTCACCTGGAGACTTGCTTTTCTCACCTGTGACATGGCCGCTATTCATCCTACTCTAAGCAGGGCCCTCAGACGTACTCCTTGGCCTCAAGGAGCTGAGAGTATAACGGTGCAGACACACAACAGAGGGATGTCCAAAGAAGGCATTCGGATGAGACACTAAGAAGGAAGTGATTACCCCCACCTGGGGCTAGGGGAAGACTTCAGAGAGGAAGAGTTAAATTGGGTCTTGGAGGATAAGTAGGAGTTCAGTATAGGGGAGGGCTTGGCGTGTGCCAAGGTTGGCAGGCCCGTAAGTCCCCTGTAGTTGGAGTAGCTGGGAGTGACTGAAGCTTCAGCGTCCAGCAGGTGTTAAGTGTGTGAGTGAGGAACGTGAGCACGTTGTGTTGGTGATAGTGGGATTTGGCGACGCGGAATCTCTCCTGCGTCTCAGAAAGTGAGATAATTTACTTTCTCTTCTAATGATGTGAAGTAGCTTAGATTCAATGAGCGAGTGAAAGACTTTAGAAATAGGTACAACGTTCTGATTTTGTGCTTGCTAAGCAGTTGATTTTGCCTTATTGTTTTCACTTGCGCAGCCCTTAGGAGACTGCTTTCTTGGCACACTACATCAGCATTGAATGCCTCTGAGCACTTGCACGCCCTGAGTTTTCCTTCAGTTAATAGTCGTGCTGGCTGGGCGCAGTGGCTCACTGCTGTAATCCCAGCACTTTGGGAGGCTGAGGCTGGCGGATCACCTGAGGTCAGGAGTTTGAGACCAGTCTGGCCAACGTGGTGAAACCTCATCTCTGCTAAAAATATAAAAATTAGCCGGGCGTGGTGGTGGGCGCCTGTAATCCCAGTTATTTGGGGAGGGTGAGGCAGGGGTATTGCTTGAACCTGGAAGGCGGAGGTTGCAGTGAGCCAAGATTGCCCCACTGCACTCCAGGCTGGGCAACAGAATGAGAATGTCTCAAAAAAAGAAAAAAAAAAAAAAAGTCATACTGGCTTGACCAAAAAGCTAACCAAAAACATAAGAAACATTTGGCTTCAGTGGATTTATCTGGAGTTTGCAATCAGAAAATCTAGGAAAATGCTCTGTTAATCACTGCATCCTGATACATTTTTACCTTTGGCATTTTAATTTTATATTACAGCCGGAAAACAGGTGCCATAACACTTTTAGTGTTCAGGGTTTCTAAAGTTCCTAATGTGGCCGTGCTCTATTTTTTTTTTTTTTTTTTTTTCTTTTTCTTTTGAGAAGGAGTGTCGCCCAGGCTTGAGTGCAGTGGCTGAGATCTTGGCTCCCTACAACCTCCGCCTCCTGGTTCAAGCAATTCTTTGCCTAAGTCTTCTGAGTAGCTGGCATCACAAGCGTGCACCACCATGCCTGGCAAATTTTGTATTTTTAGTAGAGACGGGGTTTCTCCATGTTGGTGAGGCTGGTCTTGAACTTCTGACCTCAGGTGATCTGCCTGCCTCAGCCTCCCAAAGTGCTGGTATTACAGGCATGAGACACTGCACCTGGCGCATGCTCTGAAAGTTTTTTTTGTTTTTCTGTTTTTTTTTTTTTTTTTGAGACGGAATTTCGCTCTTGTTACCCAGGCTGGAGTGGGGCCGCCACATACTGTGCTCCTCTCACTGACCACCAATGAAAGAGGTGCCCCTTCCTGAGGTGTGGCAGGGGGCCGGATAAATGGTCTCAGGGGGCCGCATGCAGCCCGCGGGCCGTAGTTTGGGGACGCCTGATATCGGTTCACCGCAACCTCCGCCTCCTGGGTTCAAGCAATTCTCCTGCCTCAGCCTCCCGAGTAGCGGGGACTACAGGTGCGCGCCACCATGCCCAGCTAATTTTTATATTTTTAGTAGAGACGGGGTTTCACCTGTTGACCAGGATGGTCTCGATTTCTTGACCTCGCGATCCACCCGCTTCGGCCTCCCAAAGTGCTGGGATTATAGGCCTGAGCCACCGCGCCCAGCCCTGAAAGTCTTTTTGTAGTGTGCATTTATCTTTCAGTTTCCCTACTAGACTTCTCACTCCTTAAAAGTTAAAGGGAGCCGGGCGCGGTGGCTCAAGCCTGTAATCCCAGCACTTTGGGAGGCCGAGGCGGGTGGATCACGAGGTCGAAAGATCGAGACCATCCTGGTCAACATGGTGAAACCCCGTCTCTACTAAAAATACAATAAAACTAGCTGGGCATGGTGGCGCGTGCCTGTAATCCCAGATACTTAGGAGGCTGAGGCAGGAGAATTGCCTGAGCCCAGGAGGCGGAGGTTGCAGTGAGCCGAGATCGTGCCATTGCACTCCAGCCTGGGTAACAAGAGCAAAACTCCGTCTCAAAAAAAAAAAAAAAAAAAAAAAAAAGTTAAAGGGATTGGCTGGGTGCGGTGGCTCACACCTGTAATCCCAGCACTTTGGTAGGCTGAGGCGGGTAGGTCACCTGAGGTCAGGCGTTGCAGATCTGCTGGCCAACGTGGTGAAACCCTGTCTCTACAAAAATACAAAAAGTAGCTGGGCATGATGGCAGGTGCCTGTAATCCCAGCCACTCAGGAGGCTCAGGCGGGTGGATTGTCTGAGGTCAGGAGTGCCAGATCTGCCTGACCAACATGGTGAAACCCTGTCTCTACAAAAATATAAAAAGTAGCTGGGCATGACAGCAGGTGCCTATAATTCCAGCTATTTGGGAGTCTGAGGCGGGAGACTTTCTTGAGCCCCAGCAGGCGGAGGTTGCAGTGAGCCGAGATCTCCATTTCACTCCAACCTGGGTGACTGAGCAAGACTCCGTCTCAAAAAAAAAAAAAAAAGTTAAAGGGACTGAGCCTTGTTCATCTTTGTATCTGGAGCCTAGAACGTCTGGTGAGTACTGAATAGTATTTATGAATGAGGAAACTGAGGAGGACTGCAGAGGAGAAATGAGTTTGTCATTAAATTTACATTTATCAAGCTCTTATTTTGTGTCAGATACCACACTCAGTGTATAACGTGTAATGTCATTTAGTTCTTATAGCAACCCCATGTTTCAGATGCGGAAATAGAGGGAGAGAAATGAAGCAGTTTACTTAAAATTATTAGCCCCACAAGGAACAGCTGAGGTTTGGAAGCCCGAGACTGTGATTGTAATAATTCTCATCAGCTGAACCTCAAATCTATATCCTGGGCTGAGGTTTCTGGCTTGCAGGGTTCCCCAAATCTCACTGTCTTGCCGTGGGTCCCCTCAAGGAATGCCTTTTTTTACCACACTTTTTGCTATTCCTGCTATATTTTGGCCTGGCTAGGAGATGAGGTGTCCTATATATACTGGATCACATTTTCCATTTAATCCTGTGGTTATGGCACACTTGGAAAGACCACCCTTTGGGCCAGGGGAGGTGGCTTATGCCTTTAATTCCAGCACTTTGGGAGGCCGAGGCCGGTGGATCACTTGATGTCAGGAGTTGGAGACCAGCCAGGCCAACATAGTGAAATGCTGTGTCTACAAAAAAAAAATTAAAAAATTTCCTGGGCATGGTGGGACATGCCTGTAGTCCCAGCTACTCAGGAGGCTGAGGCAGGAGAGTTGCTTGAACCCAGGAGGCAGAGGTTGTAGTGAGCCGAGATTGAGCCACTGCATTCCAGCCTGGATGGCAGAGAAAAAGAAATACCAACCTTTGGAGTCAGAATCTCTACATCATTTTAAGAGGTAGGAGTGTGTGTGTGTGTGTGTGTGTGTGTGTGTGTCTCAGGAAAAAATACCAACCTTTGGAGTCAGAATCTCTATATCATTTTAAGAGGTGGGGGTATGTGTGTGTGTGTGTCTCAGAAAAAAAAGAAATACCAACCTTTGGAGTCAGAATCTCTACATAATTTTAAGAGGTTGGGGGGGGGGGTGTGTGGGTGTGTGTGTGTGTGTGTAGCAGTGGAGAGGGCTGGGTAATATTGTGATTGTGAAAGAAAAAGCTGTGTGGTCTGATTATGTGATAAGTAACCAGAAAATTACTTGAGAATTAAAATAGCTGGGCAAAGCATTTAGTGAATTTTGGTGATTCCAGTATAAGGAGATTAATTTGGTTAATCGTAGTGGGATTTCTGTGCATTCATACTATCAGGTAAATAATTTTAAAATAGGCAGTTTTCAACCTTTAATGTGCGTACAAACCACCTGAGGATTTAGTTAAAATGCAGATTGTGATTCCGTAGGCCTGGGGTATTTCAGCCCGCCCAGGTGATTTAATTGCTGGTGATCTGTGAACTGCACTTTGAGTAGCCAAAGGGTAAGCTCAGCCAAGAGTGGAGGTGTGAAATGGTGGCCTTTTTTCCTGTGGCAGGTGCCAGTGATCCAGACAAGCCCTTTGCATTGTTGGGGGTTGGAATTATGGGGAATTTTTACCAGTTTATATCACTATGTTAGCAAAAAGAAAAGGAATGAGCCGGGCGCGGTGGCTCAAGCCTGTAATCCCAGCACTTTGGGAGGCTGAGGCGGGTGGATCACGAGGTCGAGAGATCGAGACCATCCCGGTCAACATGGTGAAACCCCGTCTCTACTAAAGATACAAAAAATTAGCTGGGCATGGTGGCACGTGCCTGTAATCCCAGCTACTCAGGAGGCTGAGGCAGGAGAATTGCCTGAGCCCAGGAG